ATCTTCTGAACAATACTTTCATGTCATTAGAGAGAGTGTGATTTCTGTGACTACTTTTTAACTCCCTGTTCAATTGATTTTTTAATGGTTGACTAGCAAATTTTCTGTTGTTCAAAATGTACACAGCATCTTCAAACTGTGATAATACAAACACACACACACACACACACACACACACACACACACACACTAAGCTCAGCTAGTAAAGAGACAGTGAGTAGCTACATTTTTGACCAAAAGTAAAGAACACTATAGGAAGTCATATGTTGATTTAGAAGGGAAAGGGATGTAGGTTTTAATTTTAGTGTTGATAGTATTAAACATGAAATTTTGCAAAATTTCATGAGCTATTAATGCCTACCTATAAAGAAACACATAAAAATCCTCATCTGCAAACAGATACACTAATTTCTACCCTTGTTTTAAAACATGTAACTTATGCCTACACCCAAGCACAGAATAGAATTCCTACTACTGGATAAAAGCTGCAATGTGTTGGCAGAGATATGAGAACATCCGGAGACATTGGGGACAATCCCAGTGTTTAGGAGCACTAGTATGGGTTTATCTAGGCGATGGGGATTGTTACAGAACTAGGAGCATTTCTGGGCCTTGGATAAGACTCTGTGGCATCTCTCAACCTTTCTCTTATACATCGTCAACTGGGACAGGAAGATGAAGGCACAGAAAGCCAGTAGCTCTGTAGTCTGTGGTGAGCTGGTACAGAACTACACAGCAGAGTCCTCCAGCTCCAAGACACTCAGGTTAATCTCAGAGTAATAGTCATTTAATTGTTCGACCAAAAATCAACCAGGCATGTTTCCTCATCATAGTGAATGAGGAACTTTAGTTCCTGCTCCTGAGCCTGTTAGTACTAAACCACATTGCTATGTGCAGAGATGGGAATACATTTCAGAATGAATCTTTCTCCCTTTTCTTTGATTATGTGTCTTGAAGACTGGGCAACCCCAGAATTTGCTGAACCTATGGAGGAAGGAGACAGGGGTGAGCATGTAGAGAAAGAGTAGGTCTATGCAGCAGCAGCAGCAGTAAAGGAGCTCAGTAGCAGTCCTGCCAGCACTCAGGACTTACTTGTCCCCAGGAGAAAGACAGTAACCCAAGAAAGCAGGGTGGTGCCCCAGGCAGAATCAGGGAGGACAGTGTTACACATGCTTCTTCTCAGGATGCTGGTCCCCTTGGTGAGAGATCAGGAGTTAGTTCCTCCTCTCTCTCTTCCTTTCATCTTGTTATCTGTGATGTCAGGTTCTGAGGTCAGTGATCTTGTTCACTTCTATGGGCTTTCTGTACACTTGGACAGACTCTGTTGGCTGTGACCTTCCTGCTTTAGGTCTAGCCTGTTTAGTGGAAGGGGATATGGCTGTGCTGAATCAATAAAGCTGGGTATGGGGAAGTCCATTTCATGCTGTTCTCTGAGCCAGTTGCTTCCTTTTCTCCACCTAGCTTCAGAGGCTTTGGATTGCCTGTACTACAGATCAAATCTACAGTTCATGCTGCCTGTGCTGAGGCACAGTTAATGTGCACATATGACTAACCACCCCTGCTCTTCTCTGAGCCTCTTGAGCCAGCACTGTTTCTGGTTCTACAACTAATACCCTACTATGGCCCCAAACCAGAGCTCTACCTATATCCACCATCTAAAGAAACATCAGACACTCACTAGGTGGTTCATCAGTGCCCCCTAGTGACCAGTGTGGACTTACTGGACTGTACCCCTACAAGGTATGGTTGAGGCTAGAAGCTCTCAAAATCAGGCATCTGTGTTGAGCCAGATCACACCACAGAGTTGTCGCCAGGTACAGTTTGCCCATCAAATCTCAAATATTATTTGTCCCAGTGAGAGAGAGCTAAAGGAAACTCATTTAAGAAAGAAGAATTTCACAGTGCTGCAGGGAGACTAGTCACTAGGTATCAGATGCCTTTGGAAGGGGTGGACCTGGGCAAAACACTCTTTAGTCTAAGTGAATTTTTATGCTGCATAGACTGTGAATTCTGTCAATGGAGAAGTCTTCTAAGCACTTTGAAAAATAAACTAGTCTAAGGAAGAGAAAGCCTGGAAGGGTAGAATGTGGGAATTACTGTTTTAGATACCTAGCAAGTCTTAAGGAAGTATATATATTAAAATTTTAAGTGAATTAGGATTGCATTTTTGACTCTTTGCAGTTATACTCAGTTCACCTATACCTTTTTCTTATTTTCTCCACGTTCTCAAAATATCATTTCCAAATTCATTTATCCTTCTTTCTGGAGCCTCCAATATACTATTACATTCAGGGAATTTTCATCACAAACACTACAATTTCACTTCTGGAAGTTGGATTGGGATTACAGCATGTCCCCCTCATTTCAACAAACTGTTTAAGACATGTGCGGCAATTACACTGTTCAATGTCACTGCCAGTCAATTTATAAGAAATAGGTTGGTTTCTAGTGACTGATTTTTCTCCTAGTGACAAGTCCTATTTTCCTGTTTCTTTGAAATGCTGTAAAATTTTTATTAGATGCTGGACAGTATATTTTATGTTTTGGTGTTTCAGATCCCATGGTTTTCTTATTAATACATTTATAGGTTTATTCTGCAATGTGCTTAAGTCATTGAGAAATAGAAATCAGAGATATTCTTAGCATATAGTTGTTGCTCTTTTTAGGCTTTGGCAGAGACAGATACATAATTTAGAGGACTGGAGGATGACTCAACCATTAAAGACTGGACCCACATTCAAAAATGTAAGACATATAACTTAGACATGGACACAACATAAAAGTCCTTCAAATTACAAAAAGGTACAAAATATACTATTTTAATACAATGAAATATTAAAATAAGTAGAGTTTTTATACACATCAAAAATGTAACAATACACATACTATGTGAAAAATCAGACACAAAGAGAAAAAATATTATAATTCTAAATATAGACTTGCTAAAATAGGCAAGATCAGGGTCCTAATGAAGAAATAGTTAATGGCTTAATGAGGTACAGATGAACACTTTTCGGGAAATATACTGATGGTTGAACAACACAGTGAATATATGTAAAAGAATCACAAAGGTATACATATAAAACAGTAATCTAGTTTATAAAATGGCAGTTCAGTATGCTAATTTGGTTTTTATTTCTTTTGAAGAAAAGGTGCAAAAGCAAGTGTATAAAAAATTTCTTTCTATGGAAGCATAAAACTCTTCCCCTGGAAGAAAACACAGAGATACTCCAAAAGACACATGTAAAACTCTCCGTGGGAGTCCCACTGACCATGGAGGATTAAGCTGTGACACTGGATACCCATGCTATGCCCAAACAGATTTCTCACAGTCTAGCACCAGTCTCCTAAGGGCATATTCAGCTTTCCACCAAATAATGTATTCTTCCCCAGTTTGCCCATATTACCCTGCACTCTGCCTGTGAAAAGGAATGCAAATTTCAGGATACATGTAGGTGTTTAAATCTTTTTTTTCTTTCCTTTTGCTATCCCCCGGACATGTGATTACCTTGCCTAGGTTTTTGCCTGTTAGTCTGTGAATTTATTTCATAGACATAAGGCATAGAGTAAACAAATACACCTCATGCACAAGTGTCAAAATGAACTTTTTGTTATTGTCTATTTCATGACAATCATAAAAATTTAAAAAGGGACAAAGAAAGACTATCTTCAAAGTGACAAAAGAAGCTGAATCCTCCAGGGAGACACTTAAAGAAAAAGGATGCACTTAAATCAAATGTATTGGTCATGTACAGAAGTGATGTTTGTCATGAAGCATCCTGTGAAGGGAATTTTATTATGGCTGTAATTTTCGTTTATGGTAGAACACTGTTCCTGGCTGTCCAGAGTTCCACTACATTTTGTATTGTAATTCTTTAGAAACTGTTCCTGTTCGGTCATTTTGAATTCAGGTTTTATCACTTCAGCTATTGATGCTTTATTTGTTAGTAACAATTAAAAATTAATGTTCGTGGAAATTTCTATTTTCTCTTCTGTGACTTGACAATTTAGATGGAGCATTGCTGTATTTCCCGAGTTACCTTTTGTGTTAATAAGAGTATTCTTTATCCTTTTTGGATAAGAATTATATTTAGGGATGTTTTGCCATATTACAATGCAAACTAGAGCTTATTTGCTTTATATATTAAGTGTTCCCTAAAGATCCACATATTAAAAGTTTAGTTTCTACACAGTATTCAGATGAAGAGCTTCAAGAAAGATTAGATTATGAAGAATTTGATATCATCAATGGCTAACTTATCGATAGGTTTATGTTAGAAAGCACATTGAATCATGGAGGCAACTTCAGAAAAAGGAGACCACTGGAAGATGTAGTCTACTGTATACCTCTCTCTCTCTCTCTCTCTCTCTCTCTCTCTCTCTCTCTCTCTCTCTCCCTCTCTCTCCCTCCCAGCCTCCCTCTCTCCCTCTTCTCCCTCCTTCCCTCTCTCCCTCCCTCCCTCCCTCCTTCCCCCCTCCCTCCTTCCTCTCATGAGATAGGCAGCTCAGCTCTACCATGGTCTTCCTGCTAGGCTGTTCTGCCACATCCCAGGCCCAAAAACATACAGTCCAAATAATCATAGACCGAAATTTTGAAACACTGAGAAAAACACACCTTTTTGTTTTATTTTCCCAGTCCTGCCATGATTCCAGTGTAAAATCCAGAGTGAATGAGCAGCTTTCTGCTACTGTCTACCCAATTACTACCCAGAGTCAAGTCACTAACACATCTAACAAAAGTGTTTGATACTTTAATTTGTAAATTCAGCAAGTTATGAAATAGGAGTTAAATAACTTGATATCTGGGATGGTAAGCAATGTAGCAATTTTTTCTGAGATACAGGAATTACTCCTCCACAAAATGAGTCTCTTAGAAGGCTTTCCACACACAAGTGATCAGGCAAATATATATATATATGCAATACTAAACAGACACAGTTGGCTGCATTCATATACTTATTCAAACCATAAACACAAAAATTAAAATAATAACTAAAGAATAAGAGACCATGAATTTTAATGTGGGGGGCAGGTAAATAGAGGGAAAGGTAGGGCAAGAAACAATGTAACTAAACTAACATCTTAAAAAAGGATAAAGAAAAAAAATTCTCCCTGAATTATATTTGCTAGGGAAAATGAGTTCTAGAAATAAGAGGGAAAGGTATATCTTTAGTACACAAGAATTGTCCTAGGAAAAATATCTCAAGGTCAGAACAGCACAACACATGTGAGTAAGTACTGACTGCAGATAAATTTAGGTGGAATGAACCAGGGAAGAGTGAAAGCTGGTGATACAGATGACTGATGGCATAGGACCTTATGACCATTTGTTCTAATAAAAAAAAAAAAAGGAGCTACTGACCTATAGATTTAATAGAGCCAGGAAAGAGATCATGTAATTGACCCCCTAGCAGGGGTTGAAGAGCTCACTGAAGGCCACTGGTATAGATAAGGTGGTTAGGATGTCACTCTCTGAAACAAAAATTCCAAAGAGGAGACAAGCTCCTATGAAACAGTGTTAGAGTGGCCTCCAGCCAAGCTGAGATCTATGTTGTAAGGTTCCTAGTTTGTCAGAGTTCGGTGACTCTGAGGCAGGCACTTCCTAGACACACAGGCACTTTGTTCTCCTAAGTTCCTTTCTGTGCAGAGAGGAGGAAGTCATGCGTCACTGTGTATCACTGCTGGCACAGAAGTACACAGATGTCTGAGAGGGGGAAGCCAACTTCAGAATGAGGGAGAAGTCTTCTTGTCTTGTTCTGGAGGCATTGTATCCATCAGGGATATCTCCTTTTTCAAAGGTGCCAGCACCATATGAGTAATAGATCAGCCTCAGACCATGCCCCACATCTTGCCGATACCAGTACATGTTGCTGTGGCTATTAGTCTGGTGACAGCTCAATGTCACAGTTTTTCCTGTTACTGTCACCTTGTTTCTTGGGCTTTGGGTGACTGCAGCCTCCATGTGTTCTGTAATAAAGAAAGATAAAACCTAATGATGTCATCTTAGCAAAAAGACTTCGGAATTCTGGAGAAGGAACACACCAGTGACCTGACCAGCACTCACTTGCACACAGGAGACTAGAGACCATGAAGAAGAACCTGGAGCCCATCTCAGGACCAAGACAGGCTCTGGTATATTCGAGGCCTGTATGAGAAATTAACGCTTGGGCTTCCGGTGACTTAGTGATGTCACAGTCTCCAACAAATGTTTGAGCTGCACATTTAACACACCTCATCTCTCTTTACACAAACACGCCTACTACCGATTATAATCTCATAGTTGAATTATACAACAATATTTGTAGTATATGCACACAAGGCATCATCTCAGAACAGAAAGAATTTATGCCTTGTTTTGTATTTATACTTGCATGGACTCTTTCTCTGATTTTAGTCAACATATTAGGCTTATTCCTAATAGGATACAATTCCTTATATTTTTCATGTTCCTTACCCTTTCGTTTTTGTTACTTCTGTGATCTCAATTGCACACTCACAACATGTTCCGTGCATGCTATGAGGTATCAAATAATTCTTCACATTGCCTAATTACCTGAAGAAAACTTTCAGTGCTATCCATAGCTACAAAGAATGCTTAACACCCAGAAAGCTTACAAACCACCAAGGCTGAGGTCATTACCGTTTGAACATTTGTTTTAAGCTCTCTCCAACCTATTCAAGAATGCTAGCTGTACATTGTAAGTTCAACCTTCAATCTACCTTTAGTGATAGAAATTCTCCGTTTCTTTCAGGTAATGCTGTGGCTGTTGGACCTGAGACTTTGCCACTGTACTCTCTGTCAATAGAAAACCCCTTTTCTAGTGTGAGTGAGCTGTCTTCCAGGTAATGTATAGGTCTGATGCCTATAGAGTTCCAGGGAGTTGTACCAAAATCATTCAAAGTTTTCATGTCACCTTTCTCGTAACTTTGCTAACATGAACACTTACCTCTATTCAATGTCAGTAAAGATTCCTTCCTAGATAAAGCATCTTTCAGTTACTCCCTACACAGATAATATCTCAGTATGAAGCCTTCTTTCTGTGGCCACACATCCTGGTGGGATTTTGATGGAAACTTTTTCTATAACCTTGTACAGTGAGGAAGGACTCAAAAGCAGAAGCAAAGACAAATGGGGGTGTTGAGCACAGCATCCATATGAAGAAACAGTAAACTGGATCTGACCTTCCTAGAAAGGACATTGCCTTCCATGCCCAAAGCTTGACTGGTTCCCAGATACCAAGAGCCACCAAAAGGGAGGTCATTAATCATGACAGAGAAGTCGAAGAAAAAGGCACTTTCTATTTAAGACTTAGATGTGTGTTGTAAAAAACACTAAATTTTATAGCTCATAGGATCATTTCAAAATAAGGTATGATCTACCAGTAATGTTAGTCTTCGGAACAATACTTTGGTTTCATTGAGATAATGAAATTGGTGTAAATATCCCCTTTTTATTCCTTTTCAATTGATTGTTTATTAGCAACCTTTCTTTGTTGACAATGTAAATCTCACCTTGAAACTATGAAAAAACCAAACATTATCTGGCTTAATATTATACTTCTATAATCTATCATGCCCCCACACCTATATACACTGAGCTCAGCTGATCTTAGAATATAAGAAAACAGTGAGCTGCTATATTTTCTTTCACAGAAAGTGAGTAACACCAAGAAAATTCAGAACTTTGACTTAGATGTATTTTTCAATCTTAGTGTTTATGTTCTTAAACAAAAAATACTGGGAATTTTCATAAGCTACTGATTCCTATTGAAGTGGTATATGTAAATCCCCACTGAGAAAATGGATATGTTAATGTCTACACTTGCCTTAAAACATGTGGCCTCTGGCCATAATCCATGAAAAGCAAAGTTTCTTACCATTGTCTAGGGGCTGGAAGGTATTAGCAGAGAGAGAGAGAGACAGAGAGAGAGAGAGAGAGAGAGAGAGAGAGAGAGAGAGAGAGAGATCTGAGAATATGAGAATAGCTGGAGGTCCTGGTTCCAGCCCAGTGTTTAAGAACAGTTTGTGTGTGCTCAGCTAGGCAGTCAGAGGATTAGTAACAAGCTAGAAGTCCTTTCTGTTCCTTGGCTGTGGTTTTGTGGCATCACCCAACCCATCTCAAGTATATCCCCAGCTGGAACAGAAAGATTAAGTTACAGAAAGCCAGTAGCTCTGTAAGGCTGTGGAGAGAGCTGGCACAGAAGTACACAGCAGAGTCCTCCAGCTCCAAGGCACTCATGTTCATCTCAGAGTGATAGTCACTGAACTGCTGGACTGAGAATCTGCTGGGCAGGTTTCCTTTCTCTCTCTCCATTTTTTCATAATGCTGAATGAGAAACTTTAATCCTTGCCCCAGAGTCTGTTGGTACCAGACCACACTGGCATATCCAGAGATGGGAATACATTTCAGAATGGAACTTCCTCCCTTTTCTTTGATTATGTGTCTTGGAGACTGGACAACCCCAGAATTTGCTGAACCTGTGGAGGAAGGAGACAGGGCTGAGCATCTAGAGAAAGAGTAGGCCTATGCAGCAGCAGCAGCAGCAGCAGCAGCAGCCTTAGCAGCAGCAGCAGCAGCAGCAGCAGCCTTAGCAGCCTTAGCAGCAGCAGCAGCATTCAAGGAGCACAGGAGCAGTACTTCCAGAACTCAGGACTTACTTGATCCCAGGAGAAAGACAGCAACCCAAGAGAGCAGGGTAGTGCTCCAGATAGATTCAGGAAGGACAGTGTTACACATCCTTCTTCTCAGGATACTAATCTCTTTGGGGAGAGAGCAGGAGTCAGCTCCTCCTTTCTCTTTCCTCCTTTCATCTTATTGCCTGTGATGTCAGGTTCTGAGGTCAGTGATGATGACCTCAGTTGACATGGTTACTCCCATAGGTTCTCTGTACTCTCGCACCCAGTCTCAGCCCTTTCCCTTTTAAGCTCAGCCTGCTCAGTGGAAGGGGAGATGGCTATGTTGAATAAATAGGGCTGTGTGTGGGGAAGTCCCCTTCATGCTTTTCTCTGAGCCAGTTGCTTTCTTCTTTTCTCCTAGCTTCAGAGGGTTTTGGATTGCCAAGGCTACAGTTCAAGTCTACAATTCTCACTCCCTGTGGTGATGCACAGTGTGTGGGCATAGATGATTGACCACACCTCCCAGCCCGATGCCTCCTAAGCCAGTGCTGTTTCTGATTTCATAGCTAATACCTTTCTGTGGGTAGCATATCAAAGCTCTGGATCCATCTTGTTTATCACTGCCCACAGCTCACACAGTGGAACAGCAGTGCCCCCTAATGACCAGCTGTGCAGTCACTGGCATGTATCTCTACTGACTATGATAGAGGTGGGAGCTCTCAAAATAAGGCATCTTGGGTAGTTCAGAAAACTTCCCAGAGTTTGCAGTACCTATTTACACACCCAAATATCAAATTTTGCCTGTGGTCATGAGAACAATTTGAAATGACCATCATTTTTCAAAGATAAGCAGACAAAACCCCAAGAAAACACAACAGAAAAAAAAAATCTGTCATTTCAGTGTTACCGGGAAATGTACATTTAATCCATTTGTCCATTAGCCCTTGTAAGGAGCTGGACCTGGGAAATATAGTCTTAAGTCAAAGGAAAGATCTAGAAGGTCTGATGGTGGATGTGGTCAATGGAGAAGACTAAACAGTTGGAAAACTAATCTAGTCTAAAAAAGTAAAACCTGAGAATGTAGAAGTTTGGAATTTTTGTTATAAGCAGGTAGCTAGCCTTTGAAGAAATTTAAATATTAGAATTTTATATTGCAATTTTCAATTGAATATTTGACCATTTGGGTTTCCTCAGCTCACATCTTGTCCTCATTCTCTCTGTGATTCCGCTTGAGCATCATCTTTAAATTCATTAATCCATCCTCTGGAGCATCAGTCTGCTGAGACTTCCAGTGAACTAGTTCTCATCACAGACACTGCAGTTTCCACTCTGGAAGCTGGACTTGGACCTTTGCATGTCTCCTTCATTTCTACAAACACATTGAGATATACGCTTCAGTCACACTGTTTAATGTCATAGTCAGCTCATTTCGCAGAAACAGGTTGCTTTCTAGTGATTAGTCTTTCTCCCAGTATGAGTCTTATTTTCTTCTGCCTTTGCAGAGCTGTGATCTTTTGGTAGATGTGAAAATGATTTATGTCACTGGACAAATGCAGTTAAAAGATCTATCTATCTATCTATCATCTATCTATTATCTACCATTTATCAATCAATCATCTATTAGCCATATATATATATATATATATATATATATATATATATATATCCTTTCCTTACTCCTCTTTCTTCTTGTCAGGCATGAGATGGGCAAGTCAGGTCTGCCACATTTTTCCTGCCAGTATTCTGGCACACCACAGGGCTAAAACAACTAGTCCATATATGCGTAGATCAAAAAGTTTGAAACACTGAGGCAAAAATTAAAATACACCTTCTTCATTTATATTCTTAAATATGTCATGATACCAGAAAGGGAACTATCACATAAATCTCCAAACTCCATGCTGACTCTGTTTTACTGTTCATTATGTAAAATGCAGTGAGACTTGAGGAGGAGTTTTCTAATTATCACCAACTAGCACAAGTTAGTCACACATTATAGCATGAGAATATGATATCTTTATTTGTAAATTCACTAAGATATAGAAAAAGAATGATATCTATCTTGAAATCTGGCATGGCAATTCTACCAGCTTTTTTTTAGGTGGGGCAATTAACGACTACTGAAAGAAGGTCTACTAGTCATCCCCAAGATGAATCCCCTACATAGTTGCCCAATCACAAGTGGGCAGCCCTAAAAATATACATACAATTAACACTAAAGAGAGTTTGTAGATTGCATTTATTTATTTATTTATTTATTTATTCATTCACATAACACATACAAAAATCAAACCAATAATAAGAATAATTTTTTAAAAAGGCATGGATATAAAAGGGGAACAAAACATGTGGAAGGATAGAAATAATGTTATTAAATTGACATCTTAGGAAGGTAAAAGAAAAGTAATTAAACCTGGAATATATTTTCCCTGGGAGAAGAGCTCTAGAAACAAGAGGGAAAGGTATGTCTTCTATGCAGAAGAAATGTCCTTGGAAAAAAAATCTCCAGAATAGAAAATACCACAACATATATGAAAAAGTACATGTATGTAGATAAAGTTAGCTGATGATGAAAACATCAGGGGATGCTGGGTAAAGGTTGATGACACCAATGAGCAAAGAAAAATGACATGCAATGTTATGGGTTCTTGCTGTATATAAAAATAGAGGCTACTGACCTATAGAGTACACACGGGCTAGAAAGAGATCATATAAGTGACTAAGTGGACAGTAAAATGGTTGAGGAACTAACTGAAGGCCATCAGGACTGAAATGATGGCTCTCAGGTTATCTAAACCATCCTCAGGAACTTCAATTAAAGATTCATGTTCAGCCAGATGTGATTGCACAAGCCTTTAAATACAACACACTAGAGAGAGAGGTAGACAGATCTCTATGACTTTCAGGCCAGCTTGGTCTACAGTACTAGTTCCAGGACAGCCAGAACTGTTATAAAGAAAAATACTGTCTTCTTAAAAAATCATCTTTGACTTTAAAAACAGAGACAAGAAGTGGACATAAGAAAACCTTCAGTGAAAAGGTGTTAGAATGGCCTTTGGGCAGCTAGAAACCCATCCTGTAAGAGTCCTAGCTTGTCAGAGCTCAGTGACTCTTACGGAGGCAGGGACTTCCATAGGCACACAGGCAACATTTTTTTTCCTAATTTCCTTTCTGTGTGGAGGACAGGAAGCCACACACCACTGTGTATCACTGCTGGCACAGAAGTACACAGATGTCTGAGAGGGGGAAGCCAACTTCAGAATGAGGGAGAAGTCTTCTTGTCTTGTTCTGGAGGCATTGTATCCATCAGGGATATCTCCTTTGTCAAAGGTGCCAGCACCATATGAGTAATAGATCAGCCTCAGACCATGCGCCACGTCTTGCCGATACCAGTACATGTAGTTGTGGCTATTAGTCTGGTGACAGCTCAATGTCACAGTTTTTCCTGTTACTGTCACCTTGTTTCTTGGGCTTTGGGTGACTGCAGCCTCCATGTGTTCTGTAATAAAAAAAGAAAAATCCTGATGATGTCATCTTAGCAAAAAAACTTCAGAATTCTGGAGAAGGAACACACCAGTGGCCTGACCAGCACTCACTTGCACAAAAGAAAGCCTGGAGCCCATCTCAGGACCAAGGCAGGCTCTCGTATGTTCCAGCCCTGTTTGGGAAACTAGAGTTGGGGCTTCCAGTGACTTAGTGATGTCATTGTCTTCCACAAATGTTTGAACAGAACAGTTAACAAACCACACCCCTTCTCTATAGAAACAATTCTACTCTTAATTATCATCTCATAGTTGAACTGTCCGTTAATATTTGTAGTGCAAACACACAAATTATCAGCTCAGAACAGAAAGAATTTATGGTTTGTACTGTATTTATACTTGTATGTACTCTTTCTCTGATTTTAGTCAATACATTAAGCTTATTTTATTCCTAATAGGATACAATTCCTTATTTTATGTTGTTTTAAATTTTGGTACTTATGTAATCTCAGCTTCATCATCACAAAATGCTGCATTCTGTGTGATTTGTTCTGATTCTTCACTTTGCCTAAATACTTGTATAAAAGTGTTAGTCCAGTCTATGGCTATAAGAACTATTTGACATCTGGAAAGCTTACAAAGCATCAAGGGTTGAGTTCATTACAGTGTAAACAATTGCTTTAAGACCTCTTACACCAATCATCGCCACATCTGTATACTAGGCTCAGCCTTCATTTTATCCTCATTCATAGAAATGTTCCCTTTGTTTCAGGTGAGCCATTGGATAGTCAGCCCAAGCCTTTGTTCTTTTGTTCTCAAGAAGAAATCCCCACTAGTAATGTAAGTGAGTGGTTTACCTAGTAATGTGCCCATCTGGTCTGTGTAGTGTCCCAGGGAATTTAGTCATAATTATCCAAAAGCTCTAGTGTCACTTTTGTCATAACATTGTTAATATGTAATACTTAACCTTTATTCAAGGGTAGTACAGGTTCCTTTCTAGGTAAAGTATATCACAGTTACTCTCTACACAGATAATATCTCAGTATCAAGCCTCCTTTCTGTGTCCATTAAACCAATTGGGATTTTGATGAAAACTTTATATAACCCTGCCCTGGTAATGAAGGACTCACACTCAGAAGCAGAGATAAAAGGGGTCAGCAGAGCTCCCTTATGAGGAAGCTGACAAGAGGATCTGACCATCATAGAGAGGCTTTCATTGGACATAAAATCATCTGTATAAATACCTCCTTTTTTTTATACCTTTTAAATTTACAGTTTGATTGTTGAGGAGCAAATTTCCTTTTGTTGAAAATGTAAGCCTTAACTTGACTTTCAAGATAAACTTCTGGGCCATGGCAAAGCCTTCATGGCATTGCCCAACCCCTCTCTAGTACATCAGCAGCTGGGACAGGAAGATTACATTACAGAAAGCCAGTAGCTCTGTAAGGCTGTGGAGAGCGCTGGCACAGAAGTACACAGCAGACTCCTCCAGCTCCAAGGCACTCATGTTCATCTCAGAGTGATAGTCACTGAACTGCTGGACTGAGAATCTGCTGGGCAGGTTTCCTTTCTCTCCTACCCCTTTGTCATAATGCTGAATGAGGAACTTTAGTTCCTGCCCCTTAGTCTGTTGGTACCAGGACACACTGATATGTCCAGAGATGGGAATACATTTCAGAAGGGACCTTCCTCCCTTTTCTTTGATTATGTGTCTTGGAGACTGGACAACCCCAGAATTTGTTGAACCTGTGGAGGAAGGAGACATGACTGAGCATCTGGAGAAAGAGTAGGTCTATGCAGCAGCAGCAGCAGCAGCAGCAGCAGCACCAGCACCAGCAGCAGCAGCAGCAGCAGCAAAGGAGCTCAGGAGCAGACCTGCCAGCACTCAGGACTTACTTATTCCCAGGAGAAAGACAGCAACCCAAGAGAGCAGGATGGTGTTCCATGCAGAGTCAGGGAAGGCAGTGTTACACATCCTTCTTCTCAGGATGCTGGTCCTTAGTGAGAAATCAAGAGGCAGCTCCTCCTCTCTCTTTCCTCCTTTCATCTCATTGCCTGTGATGTCAGGTTCTGAGGTCAGTGATCTTGCTGACTCCCACAGGCTCTCTATACTCTTGGGTATACACTGCTGACTGTGCCCTTCTGCCTCTAGGCTCAGCCTACTTAGTGGAAGGAGAGATGGCTGTGCTGAATAAATAGGGCTGAATGTGGTGAAGTCCCCTTCAGGCTTTTGTCTGAGGTAGTTGCTTTTTTTCCCTCCTCCTAGCTTTAGATGGTTTTAGATTGTCAACACTACTCCTGCCTGTGCTGATACACAGTGGGTTTGCAAATATGATCGTCCATCCCTGCTCTGTTCTGTGGATCCTGAGCCAGCACTACATCTGGTTCCACAGCTAATACCCTTCTGTGGGCTTCAAACCAGAGCTCTCTCTGAATTCACTTTCTGAAGAAATACCAGCAGCTTTCTCAGTGAATCTACAGTGCCCCCTAGTGACCAGCTTTGCTGTGACTGGACTGTACCTGTACAGGCTGAGAGGGAGAGGATGGACACTCTACAAATCAAGCATCAGCGGTGGTTCAGAAAACATCACAGTGTTGTTGACTGTACCATGTACTTGCCAAAGTCTCAAATCTTGCCTGTGGTCGTTAAATTGATAATTACGTATCAGCTGCTCTGGGAAGTGGCTGGACCTGGTAAATACAGGCTTTATTCAAAGCAAATACCCAGAAAGCCAGATGGTAGATGCTGTCAGTGAAGAAGCCTCTGAGCATTTGGAAAAATAAACCAGTCTAAAAAAGAAAGAAAGCTGAGAAGGTAGAATTTTGGAATTGTTGCCGCAGACAGCTGACTACCCTTTGAGGAAATTTAAATGTTAAAACCTTATGTTGCAATCCCTGACAGCATATTTGACTATTTGTGTATCTTCACCTCACTTACACCTTATTCACATTTTCTCTATGTTTCCTTTTCAACATAATCTTCAAATTCATTAATCCTTCCTTCTGGATCATCCATTTTACTGTTACTTACAGTGAGCTATTTCTCATCACAGACCCTGCAATTTCTACTCTGGAAGTTTGATTTGGATCTTTGCATGTCTTCCTCATTTCTACAAACAGGTTGTGGTATGCGCTACAGTTACAAAGTTTAATGTCATAGTAAACTGATTCGTCAGAAACAAGTTGGTTTCTAGTGATTAATTTTCTTTTAGTGATGAGTCCTATGTACTTCCTTCTTTGCAAAGCTATATATTTTTTGTTTGAGGATATAGGATACTATGTTTTTCTTATTAATACATTCATAGATTTATTATGCAATGTGTCTTATGTTACTGAGAAACAAAATTCAGAGAAAATTTTAGCAGACAGTCATTGCTCTTTGTAGGCTTTGGGAAGATAAATATAAAACATAGATATAGTCACAACTTTTTTTTTTTTTTTTTTTTTGGTTTTTCGAGACAAGGTTTCTCTGTATAGCCCTGGCTGTCCTGGAACTCACTCTGTAGACCAGGCTGGCCTCGAACTCAGAAATCCGCCTGCCTCTGCCTCCCAAGTGCTGGGATTAAAGGCGTGCGCCACCAACGCCCGGCGATATAGTCACAACTTAAAAGTCCATAAAGTGTTTATGAGGTAGAAAAGTGCACAGCTTTAAGACAATGAGGTATTGAGATAAATCTAGTTCTTATACACATTATAATATAAGACATATTATGTAAAGTGAAAGAAATCAGGAATAAAGAGAAAAAATACTGCAATTCTAACATACACTTCCTAAAATAGACCAGATGGAGGTTTTGTGGGAAGAATAGTTGCTATTTAGAGTATAAAGATGAAAACTTCTTGGGAAAACCATGGTGGTGATGGTTCTACCATACATAAACATGTGTACAATACCATGGGACTATAGATATAGAAACAGAGATGGAGTTTGGAAAATGAATGTTCAGTATTCTGCTTGGTTTCTGCTTCTTCTGAACTAAAAATGCTTGGGGAAATTCAAGTGCAGAAAAAAATCTTTCTTTCAGCTCTCCCAGGGAGACTAAGCACTGAATCTCCAAAAGAAACATGAAATTTTTTTTTCCTGGAAGTCTCACCAACCAGGAATGATTAGTTGCCTCGTGTGAGGAGACACCAGAAGCTTACCAGATAGACTACTCAATGTCTATCTCTCATTTTCCAACAGTTTCTCCCAAACAATTTGTTCTTCTCTAAGTTGCCTTCATCATTTTATACCTCAGCCTGTGAACAGGAAATAGAAGTTTCTAGATAAGAGTATCAGTTTGAAAATTCATTTTACTTTCATTTCACATTCCCAGGCTTGGCACTAACTTGCATAGCATTTTGACTATTAATCTGTGAATTTATGTTAAGGCTTAATGAAGAGAATAAACAAATATACACTTCCTGTAACCATCAATGTACAGATATTTAGTTACTATTTCATTACAATCCTTAAGTAGTAAAAGAGAGAAATAGATGATTTTCAAAATGAGAAAAGTGAATAAATGTGAGTGTTAATAACTGAATCCTCCAAGGGTGCTTGAAGAAAGAGAAGTCAAGTAATTAAGGTAGATTGGTATCTAAGAGAAGTGCTATTTGTCGGGAAATGTACTATGACGGGTTTCCTGGTGTGGCTGTAATTTTCTTCGGTGGTATAACACAGCTCACGGCAGTCCACAGCTCCACAGCCTTCTGTGCTGTAACTCTTTAGAAAATGTTCCTATCTGTGAGTTGAAAGTCAAATCTCATCACTCCAGCTGCTGATACTTTATTTCTAAGCAAATATGAACACAGTTCATGCTAGCATGAAACACTTACCTCTATTCAGTAGCACTTAACATAAATACTCTTCCTTGACTTGACAATTTTGGAAGAGTATCACTGTGTTTATTGGGTAATCTTTATTAATTAAAAAAAACAATGAAATTATTACTAATGATATTCTGCTATACTCATAGATTAGAGACATCTGGTCATCAGAGAGACTTCCTCCAGCAGCAGGAGAAAGTGGGTGCAGATATTATGTGGAGAGAAAGTCTGTTCTGAGTGGTTCACTCAGGTCCCTGCCCTTGGAGATTGGGGAGCCCTGTGGAAGAGAGGAAAGGAATACTGTAGGAGTCAAAGTGGATGGAGGACACCAGGAAAATATCATTCACCAAATCAATTCAGCATAGTCCTTTCCTATTGTGTTGCCTTGTCCAACCCCAATATGAGAGCTTTTTTCTTGCTTTTATTTTTGTTTTAATTATTCTCTCATATAATATATACAGTATCCCCTTTCTCTAGTCCTTGTTTTGTCCTGTTTGGCTGTAGTTTATTGGATGCCAGCTTTTATTCTGAAGAGAAAACAGAGGGTGAGCAGATTTGGGGGAGAAAAGATGTGAGGGGAGATAGGAGAAGTGGAGAGATGGAAAACTGGTTGGGATATACTGTATGAGGAAAGAATCCATTTATCCATTTTCAATTAACAAAAGAAATAAAGTATTCTTTTTCCATTTTGGATAATTGGACAAAGTTTGCTGTATTACAAAGCAAAATAGTACTTATTTGGTTTAGATGAGAAGCATTTCCCAAAGATACGTATATCGAAGGTATAGTTGTTTACACTGTGTTCAGAGGAAAACTGAGAAATATGAGACCTTCACAATGGCTAATCTATGGAGAGGTTTGTATTACAGGGGACACTGAGTGATAGAAACAGCTGCTGAAGGCAGGGCTTCCTAGGAGGAGTTAGGTCAACAGAAGCATACAGTTAAAGGTCTCTCTCTCTCTCTCTCTCTCTCTCTCTCTCTCTCTCTCTCTCTCT